TGTGGGTGAATTAGCCAAGGAAGCTTAAGGCAGTCAGGCAGACAGTATTATTGGGAAAATGTTTTTTTTAAATTATTCAATTGTGAGAGACCACCAGTTGTTCCGTGGAAAAACAACAGCTTTACATCGATTGATTTTAACTCGGGTAGAACAATGCAAAGAATAGATAGGGAAGTCGCTCATAACGAGTTTGAATACGTTAGGAAAAGGTAAAATCTATTGTGACTTTGAATTTCAGGAAAGTTTTTGAATTTAAGGTGGATATAATATTTTCGTGTCCTTACCTCTAGCTCTTACAAGGAGACCAAATGTTAGAAGAAAAATTCCTAAGAGTCCCCTCATATCAGTGCACTAGGTTTTCCAAACCTGTATGAGAGTAAACATCTGATCATTTGCATCGTTGCATCATTGCTTTGATACACTATTGTATCTTGTATGATGGACTTTTACCAAATTTTAATAAATATGTTATACAAGTTTTATATTTAAATGCTTTGTGAAATCTTGTCAAATGAGCTAATGGTTGACAGTGTGATATACGATTATATATATCACAATCAATGGATTAAGGTTAAGTCTAGAATGTTGCCCAGAGAGGAGTGGGTTCGCCATCGGACATATTATGTTTCTTTCTAATGGTGGGGATAAGTAAAGCTAATAATTTACTACTCGCAGAGAACAAATAATTTTGTAGAAGTCTTCCTACTATGTGTTAGATGATTTGCCGCAGATATACCTCTACGACAAATAATCTTCACACAGGCAATCCGTCATCTGTATTGCTGACATTTACCTGGACGACCCAATAGGCCTGTGAATTTTATGCTTTTAGATAGTATACTCGTAAAAGGTTTGACGAGTAAAGGCAAGGCGAAGAAGAAATCAATAAAAAAATAAAATGGAATGTAAACGGTTAATAAATTGTGTCTCACCTCAATCTTTAGTGTGTCTTGCTGATCAAAGTGCGCTGTCCCTGAGATAAAACTGACAGGTCACTTGGTATTACATATTGCACGGATCATTTAAGTTATAAATACAGGATTTATAAACACGGCAGGTGGGTATAGCATGAGGTATTTTTCCTTAACAACTTAATAAAATATCAAATTCCTGCAGTGTTTCTGAAGAAATTAATTTCTAAGACTGAGAAGCGCTGATGCAATTTGCAGAAAAATTTAAAAAAAGACTAGTTACCATGTAAGAATTGACAAGAACTGCATTAACTAAGGGTAACACGTTGAACATGAAGATATATTATCTCATGCAGGTAAATTACCATATCACGACGGAATGCTAAATTCATAACAATATTGACCGACATGTTATACAGCTGCGAACACAAAAATTGATTAATGAATCCCTTACAACTAGGATTGGAACTCAACTTGAAAGTTAATTTTACTTTCTTGTCTTATCGTAAAATGAAGTTCCCCTTTGAGCGGGTTTACGTTGAAGTTTTGTTTGTTTGCAATTTCGTGAAAGTATCTGGTCTTGCATTTAGAAGAAACATACCGTGGACAATAATCTCCGTGATAATAGGCTACAGGTCAAATCGATTTGCTGTGGCTCCCAATTTCTCTACTCCATTGCTCATGAGCAACCATGAAAAGGTAAACATGCAGCTCGCGAACGGACAACATTTGGTTTTAATAGACAGAAGGTTGCCAATTTTCGTTGTTCATAGGAATGTGTGTTTCAGTGATGATGGCACTCAAGACTTAGGATATAGCGTTATAAAATTTGACAATGAAAGGAGAGACGGCAAAATTGACATCAATCTAACAACTAATGGCTTCGTTGTAAAAGTTTTTAGCAACAATGCAAGCGAATCAGGGCTCAAAAATATAGGAAAGAATTGTAGCAGTTTATGGACTGTGCTAGGTAATGTGTTATTTTTACCCCTTTTCCGATATGTTACGAGGATTCTCCAAAAACAAATTTCATAAGGATGCTCTGACAAACCCAATTTATGGTACAAATACCAGACGTTCATCTTACTAAAATGCAAATACAGTTTTCACCATTATTATCATTTAACGTTCTAAATTCCCTACCTGGATGTCAGATATAAAATAGTTTCCGGAGCCAAATAAAAGAAGTCCTCTGGTCTTTGCTAGAACCCTCCAGACATGGCTCACTTACAACTACTTCCGATGTCTAGTTACGGTGACTCAATCCCCTAACTTTTGAATATTTTCAGTCATAAGTCACATTGTGTTTTGAGTTGACTGACCAACAGAAATGGCGAGATTTCGTTGTTTTTATGTAATTTTATTTAAACATTGAAGCTTATGGAGCAGGTTACACTGAAAAAGGATAAGACAACTAAAGTAGTAGGTTGCAGTTAAGAGCATCGACAGAAGAACGTTTGAGGGAAATGGCGATACGGACTTAAATCGCTCCAGCTGTAATCTATTTCTCTTTAAAGACCTACATGAAATTGGTGCAAAAAGTGCAAAATAGAAATTAAAAATATATTTTTACGGTTAAATATCACAGCAGTTACGTCACAAGCTTATTTACAATCACAGAGGTGCTAGACGGAAATCGGAGCAAACTTTCGTTTTTCATGTCATTAAAATTGATGGCGTTTTTCTTAAAGATGTCTCTTAAAACGTACAGAGATTTATTTCTTTAGTCGGCGTTCATGGGTCTTAAAAAAAGGCTGGTGATTGTTTTTATATCAGAATAAAGAAGTCACGATTTCATGAGTTGGCTTGCTCAAGCTTTAAATGAAAACTAGCGATTGTTTTCGTTATCTCAACAGTGGATGAAAGAAGTCTAACAGGTTGTTTGAATGTTATTTCATAACTCCTTAACCAGAGACTAAAACTGCCCCAACTGAATTGAACGAGTTGCTTTGTAGATTTATTTCTAGGAACTTCCCAGATTTCCTGTTACTTTGAAAAAACAAGGTTAGTTGTAAGCGTCTCACTATCTCTCCTTCAAAAAAAAACTTACAGTGCTGAGCAAAAATTACGTACACTTTATGAGGTCATTTGTATAAATTAAAAATACAGACCGTTTGACTAGCCATCATTAAACTTTTTTATTTTACTGTCTGATCTCCTTTTACATTTGTGATTTAATTTCGTAGTCTAACAGACGTAATCAGACAGAATTTGATTACCAGACCAGGAAACAACCATATGCACATATAGTACGCGCAAATTTTCCGAATGCCTGTGTTTATATTTGGCCAAAGCGGAAAATCATGAGTAATAGCATCAATCCATGGCACAAATGCACTTTTTTCAGATCCTCTAGGGAATGTCAGATCAGGGTCTTAAAGTACAATTTAAATGAATCAGCAACTTTCGCGCAGGAAAGTCTTGGTCTGTCATTGTAATATTGATTTAAAATATGGTTATCAAGGACCTCTCGGTTTCTTATCTAGCATTGCGTTGGATTTTGTTCGATTGATGGATGAATTAAAAGCGAAAACAATATGAGCAATAAATCTCTGGATTGCATGATTTTACTCCAATTACACCTTAAAGATTGAAGCACCTTGAACTTACAGTTATACATTGCTTGCATATGATTTCTCAGCAAATAACATAACTATTTGTTAAAGAAACAAACACCAGAAAGTTATCTAAAAACATCCCTAAAAGAAAAAAAAGATATGAGTTGTTTTGTTACTACCGAGGGAATGAAGAGAACTTCGTGTCCCCCATCAGCTTTCGAACTCCAGATCTTCAGTTTTGCGCTTTCATGCTCTACAATCGAGCTACAGAGAACTCGGATGGTAGGCTACCCCATTTCCAGATTAACTTGTCATAAGCTTCCTGTAAATTGCTAAGAAGGACTCTTTAAAGGAATTTGTTGTGATGTGTAGTGCGATGATGTGCAGATGCTAAAGAATTTATGAGCAAAATAAACACAAATTTCCACTGCCTCTATACAACGAAATGATATGCACTCGATGATCGATCATTGCTGAAAAAATTATCGGATATACTGTAATCAATGAGGATTTGAGCGATTTTCAATTTAAGATAAGTATTCTTTTTATATAAAACTAAAATTAATAAAAGCTAAGTTTTTTCGTTTGTCTCACGATGTAGTCACGTGTGATGTAGATCGCGACGTTTCGACTGCATACTTCTAGTCTTCTTCAGGCGATGAGGTCGACTGGTCATGCGTGATCTTAGAAAGCATGATGCTCTGCTGTGATTAGTTGTTTTTTCAACAGCTCTGATTGGTGCACTTCGATCCTTGCTCTTCACTCAGTGACTTGCTCCCTCGGCGGTCCGCTGTCGCTGTCGGAAAACCAAACAACAGTGCCGAACCCGCCAACGAGTTCAAAGCTACTGCGGTTTTACCTTATGTCAAAGGTCTGTCCGAACAGCTTCGCCGTTGCCTACAACAACAAGGCGTAAACGCTGTTTTCAAGTCGGAGACTACGCTAAGATCTCAGTTAGTGCGACAAAAAGACGCTGTCGAACCCGCTAAACAGGATGGCGTAGTTTACAGAATTCCCTGTGAATGCGGCAGGGTGCACATCGGAGAAACTGGAAGACCTATGCAAGACAGAATTAAGGAGCACGATCGAGACATTCGACTCGCCCGTACCGAGACCTCCGCTGTTTCAGAGCATGCCCACAACACCGCACATAAGCCACTCTGGAACGAAGTAAAGTTTATTGATCGTGACCCTTATTACTACACGCGCAGAGTTAAAGAGGTAATTCATATAAGACTTCACCCTAACAACATCAACAGGGATAGTGGAATAGAAATTCCAGAAGCGCGGATGCCCACGATCAAAAAACACAACAACAGGAGAGCCATGCTTAGCTTTTATTGTTATTCATCACGATGAATAACCACAACCTTTTCTACGAAACTAAAATTAAAATTACAAGAAAATATTTTCGATTCGAGCTGTAAGTGTGTTTCTTGTGAGGTCTGTGAAATATACATAAATTAATGTAATATACATAAATTAATGTAATATACATAAATTAATGTAATATACATAAATTAATGTAATGATATACATGAAAAACTACGCGCTTCTGACTGGCTGAAAACGAGTTAATTTCTTATGTAGCAAAGTTGTAGCACGAGTATAAACTTCAAATAGCGAGCGCGCGCCGTCAAATTTTGTCTATCTTGACTTTCTGGGATGCTTTTTTCTTCTAAATTACGAATAACGAATTTAAGGAAATAAACGACACTTTTTTAAAAACATGTTTCGACAGTGTCGTTCACTTTCTTAAATTCGTTACATATCTGCTGCTCTCCAGACCTTTTGGCAAATTACTAATAAGCAATAACATGATTTTTCGAGCAATTTGGTGTAAATAAGTACGAGCCCGTATTGCTAGTGCAAAACTCACTTGTGCTTATCAAAACCACATTGCATTAGGAATTATGTTTTTACCTTTACAAATTGCCCTATGACATTGTATTTGAGTGTAAGAGGACGGAACCAAATTGTCTTATATCCGTTAAGGACTACAATTATCAGAGAATTATAATCGCTCAACGCACAAAAGAGTACAGCTGCTCCGGTGAAAAGCGAACAAAACTTTTTGAATTAGCTTGGCTAACAAAATCATATGAAATTTAGACTTATCCCTTCTTAGCTTTTTTCACTTTCAAAATTTTTTTCTCTTTGCTTTTTGCCTTGGCCTCTTTTTGCATCTTATTTTTATCAGGCTTCTTACTTTTCGTCTTCGAGGGACTCTTCTGTTTCCTACCTCTCTTTTTACAACAATATTTCGCGCAATATGTAGGGCAAAATACTCCTGGATAGTGAGTACAGGATATTGGACAGCTACTTGGAAAGACTGGTGAAGGTGGTGGAGGTGGAACGATAGGCTTTGGAAGTAAAGATGCTGGAGCAGTCTGAAGAGAAATTTCGGGAAGCTGAACAATTATTGAATGGGGGGACGCAGCTATCTGAGGTGCATTTGGTGGTTTGGGAGAAACGAGCCTGGAAAAAGGATTCATAACACTTGATGTATAACTCGGCGGTATAGGGAATGGGCGTGGTGGAGGTGGTTTGAGATAAATGCTTCCTTGAACCTGCAGAGGTCGTGTTAAAAGTATAGGCCTAGATTTTCTGTCGTACGAATTCGTAGGAGGCATTGAAGGTACATTTCCTGTATTTTGATTACAGGGATTCGCTAGAGAAGGGATGCAGGGGTTGATCATTGAGAAGGGATTTTGTCCTTGGGGATACGGAGGGAAAGGAAAAGGAGGAGCTATTGGTGCTGGCTTAGGATAAAGAGTTAAAGAACCTTGTAAAGAAATTGGTCCTTTGACTGGAATAGGCTTAGGCGGTTGAGGAGCCTGAGAGGGTTTTGGAGGCTCAGGCAAAGTCTTTTTAGGTTTGTCACCGAGAGAAGGTTTGGGAACTCGGCTGAAATAGGGGAAAGGCATTGGACTCCAAGGAGGCAATCCAAAGGGCTGTATTGGCGACATCTGAGACAAGGCAGGGGAGCGATACCGCTGAAATGGTGGTTGTTGGCCATAATTTTGGGTTGCATAGGTTGGAAATCGCCGTATTGGGTAGACTGGAAATGGCGGTGCGACAAATGGAGTATAGGATGCCACCCGAGATTGCCAGTATGGTAAGTTGCTATACGGGACCACATAGGAACTTACAACGGGTTTGGGCATGAAAGCTCGAGACTTGCCCTTCTTGTGTGATGGTTTCGAAAGCTTTCTTGGAGGACAAGGGCGGTTAGGAAGAGGAATGCAAAGCACAGGCCATAATAGTGGTGATGGGTATTTGGCCTGTGCAGGCATAATAGGGGGCATAATTGGTTGGGGACATGGATTGTACGCACTAGGAATACAAGGAGTCTGCGCCTGTGGTCGTACCAGCCGCATAAATTGTTGTGGTGGGTACGTGGCCAGTGCAGGTTTTATAGGGGGCCTAATGGGTTGAGGACATGGATTGTACGCACTAGGAATACAAGGGGGTTGCATCTGTGGTGGTGGCAAATGTATCACATGTTGCGGAGGATCTATAACTTTTAATTTGGAAGGTGGAATATTCGTCTGAGGTGGACAACGATTGTATAAAGATGGAATGCAGGGAGGTTGCATCTGTGGTGGTAGCAGACGATTCATTTGTTGTGGTGGGGATTGTGCAAGTGCAGGATTCACAGGGGGTATAATTGGCTGAGGACATGGGTTGTACGCACTAGGAATACAAGGAGGTTGTATCTGTGGTGGAGGTAAATGAATCACATGCTGCGGAGGATCAGTTACTTTCATAGGTCTCAAAGGAGGACTTATTTGTGGTGGACAGGGATTGAACGCACTCGGAATACAGGGTGGCTGTAACTGTGGCGGAGGAAGATGTATTATGTGTTGAGGAGGATCTGTTACTTTTAAAGGACTTGAAGGAAGACCTGTTTGTGGTGGACAAGGATTGAACGCGCCAGGAGTGCACGGTGGCTGCATCTGAGGCGGTGGAAGATGTATTATGTGCTGTGGAGGATCTGTCACTTTCAGAGGCTTTGTAGGGGGACGTATTAATGGTGGACATAGGTTATAAAGACTTGGTATACAAGGTATCTGCACTGGATTGGCGGCCCTTGGGAGAAATGCCTGCTGATTGGTTGAATAAGGAAGCCTTGGCAATGTCAAGCGTGGGATCGACATGATCGGACGTTGCTTTGGGCTCAAGATTCCTTGAATAGTTCGAGGTTGAGGCATTTTATAAGAGCCCTGAACAGTTTGTGAAACTTGAGTGCCTGGTGGGCAAGGTGCCTGAACGGTTGGAACACATCTTATTGCCAGTGTCACTGGAACTGTCATCGCACGGGCCTGCGGTACCATGGTCTGGAGGGGAGCCATTGGATACCTCGAAAAGCCAGGCATAATAAATCGCCTGCGATTTGCTTGGGTTATTACAGCGTGTCGCATGGCAGAGTACTGTATATTGCTTCCAGCAGCCATTTTGGAATTGCAACAAAATGGATTACAAGAGACGAGGCAAGTGGTATAGCAGGCGGGTGTACAAGTTCCCAACACAGCTGGTGGAACTCCTGAGATAAATGAAAAAATACATAATATAACATTGAAAAAGGTTGAAGTAGGTTGTAGAGGTCTATTTAGCGTCTACCTTAAAACCATGGTATATTTTCGTTCACTTTCACATATTTATGTAAAAACTTACCTGGGTGAACTATTCTGACGGATTGGATAAGAGTTTTCAGATTAACCGGACCTGGAAGTCTTCCAAGGTTCCTCCTCAAATGATTTTGAAATGGCTTTGTAGGATCAGGTTTTACTCCTGGTCCAAACTTCAAAATAATTGAACTTGTCACCGACGACTTCTCACTAGCAGATAGAAAAGAAGGAGTTCATATCGATTTTTTCCGAGAAACGAAAGAGAAGATGAAAAATGTTTCATACATTTGGGTCGTGAAGTTTTTTTTTTATTATTTTTTTGTGGTCATAAGATATTGTAGCCCCCTCGTTTGTTAAGTAAGGCCTGTTTCCGCGAGAGACGATAAACCACAAATCATTACAATTTTAATGTCGACCCCTTACTTGGAAATTGCTCCACCTGAAGTAGGTTTTGACGCTGGAGTGGCCTGTGTGGTTCCTGTCGAAACCAGTGTTGGTCTGGTGGCTCCAGAGACTGGAGATGTCCCTGATGACTTGGCAGGAGTCGCAATACCAGGCTTTGTTGGCTTAGCAGTGGGTTGAGAGATTTGCTTAGGGGTTTTGCTGTGGGAAAAAGCTAATGATCAGATGGAAAAAAGATACGAACATTTCATCACCAAAAGTTTTGTTAAAGAGGAAATTAACTGATCACTGATTAAAGTCTTCTCAGCAAAGTATACATGCATTTACCTGAAATCTTCGACATATCCTGACACGAAGGTCGGATCAATCTTAAAGATTTCCAGCAGCTAAAATTAGGGAAGGAAATCAATAATAGCAAAAAAGCATTAATAGGGCAATTATCAACTGATGAGGTCATCTTCAGTTTGTTATTTGTATAAACGACCACTCTAAGGTGGTTTATAGATGCGATACTACATGCGAAAACTGTTTGATATCTTAGATACTATTTGGAAGTGTATTGAGACGTGGGAAGAGCTGTAGCCTTTGTAAAAATCACAGTGTGGGTGCCTCGTGGTTAAATCCTCAAATTTATGGTACGCAATAACATGGAAACGGCTGTACTTTTTTTTCTTTATGTTTTCAACTGACCCATAACACATTGATTTACTTACAGCTCAAAAACCTACCATTGTTTCTATCTTTTGCTTGAGGTCCAAATACGGGAAAGACGTCGCTTGGCCGTAATCATCCGTCCACAGTAAAGAAGTAAGTTGTATCTTCATTCGATATGTAATTAGTCCTAAAAGTAGTGTTTTAGAATGTGCAGGTGAGGAACCAGTCTTAAATCTGTACTTCAGTTTAAAAGTTAGTTCCTTCTACAGATCTCAAATGTGTCCTGGTTTTGGGTTGTACGCACATTTTGTTACACTAAGAAGGTAATGTTCAGTAAACCTGAGTTGTGGACTGCGACTCTGTGATGAATTAAGGATCTATAGTGCTGCTCTAGCTAGAGCTTTCTGGGTCAAACGTGCAGTGGCGTGATATATAATCCATGGGTGTTCTCTCAAAAAGTCTCTGAAAAGGAAGATAAAGAGGCAATTCCTCACCTTCAAGTGGCTTTCTAGACACGTAACTATGTGGCTCAGTACATGGAGCATCAGACATAAGGGTGCCATAGCTAGTCCCTTCTATACCAACACAGTCTTCCTTTAAACCCGTTGGTTCGTTTGCTTTCCAAGAAGTGTGATCAACACTGGTACCGTCCGACCACGTATACGTCCCCTCCGTGATCCGATCATTCAAGCCTGTCCACACTAAACCTGTTATTCCTGGTGTAATAAGCCTTTGGACAAAGCCAACCTCATATGTCTGGTGGAAGGATACCAAGGTAGCGTTATCTTTGGCGCTCTGAAACAATGCTCCCTCCCAAGTTTGTTTATCCGTATGATATCTGTAACAAGTTCCTTTGTGAAGCGTATATCCCTTGGTACACAGTGCTATTGAATGAGATTGACAGAGTTACAATACGTAGTATTGCACAGAAACATCTTGATGATTTTACTGCAGTGAGCAATGGGTGGTAGAATAATTACTTCTTTGGTACTGATCAACGAAATGAATAGCCCCTGAGATGTAACTTGCATTTTGGCTATAAACACACAAAAAAAGCTTCTCGATTTTAATCCCCGAGCCATGAGCCTTGTAGGGTCTTTTATTTATTGAGAAAATAAAACTTAAATCAAATTTTTGAGCGGGAGCATCACAAACGAAAAGGAGACAATAACTTACTTACCACTCTGCAATAGGATGTATACATCTAGGAATAAAGATTTGAAATACCAAGTTAACATTTAATTTATCCAACATCTCCGTTTTCTGCCTCTTATTCTAACTTGCTAATCTTTGAATTGGTGAAAAAAGTGCGTGGTACAACCTAAGCAGTAACGAATATTCCTATTCGCAGCAATTTACAGTCATTCTTTACTACATTTCCCTTTCTGAATTTAAGAAAAAAATTGCTTTTGAAGTATTTAACGCCGGACTAAGAACCTGTATCATCACCTTGCGCTATAGTTTAGACAGTTTAGTGAGTATTATTTCTTTCTGTGTCGCATACCTGTATATGGTAGAACGTTTTCTTTAAGCAACGGCTGTTTATTTCCAGGCATTGGGTCAAAGTACACAACGATGTAAAACTTTGCAGATGGCGACCTGGCCAATCCGACACCAACAAAGTTACTTGAGAGCCATACGAGATGAATAAAAGGCAGTGCCAGAATTTTTGGCTGGCGCCTGGCCCAGTCATAATACTTCACTGATGTGTACCATGTCACCACAGCCAACTGGGCCAAACCAGTTTGAGAACCAACCTTGGTGAACACATTCGTGCCGTAATTCGTGTTCGGATCTATGGAGGCTGTGCCTTTGGAGACCAAGACTTGAGCCCAGTTTTGGGCTGCCGTAGAAATACGAGTGGAAATAATAAGAGGACCTGCACCATGCAGGCGTCTCAATCGATTGATAAACTCCACCACCTCTATACGGAAACCATCTGTAAGAGCAAGTTTGGATCATGACGATTTTCAAAATGTGTAACCCACGATTCGTGAGAGTAAAATGTCGTGAGGTTCTACTCACGTAAGAAAGATGACGGACTCTATTTTCAGATAACTCGCTGCTATCAAGGAGCAGAGCAATTTCACCATATTTTCTGACCTCAGATTTACGGTGTGCGAATTTCTTATTTTGAAATACCATACCAATAACATATTTTACTTCGACATTATTAATACATTTCAGTCAATAAGCGTTAAGCACAGATTATGACTGTCTTGAACAGTTTTGAAAAATCTTGCTATGGTTCCGGAAACTTACTTATATTTGTGATAGCTCCAGGGGTGGTTACTCCTCCAGTGCTGGCGGGCTTGGTGGTCTGTCCTGGTGTTATTGGAATTTTTCGGCCCGGTGATCCTTAGTGATGTTAGAGAAGGGATACAATTAAGCAAAGGAAAGTACCTCTTTGCATCAGTCCCTATCATTTAGAAACATGCACAAATGACAAGGGCTTCTTTGCCTGACACGGAATGCTTTATTTTTATGGTATGCTGTGCTAACATTCGGGGTCGAAATAAGTTTCGTTTTGAAGTTTATACCATAAAAATATCCGAACCCAAAACAGAAGAGAATGACCTTTAAGCCAAGACCTAGACTTTCATTCCTTTTATTAAGCTATCGAAGTATGACTTTATAGGGACCAGTCTCTAGAAAAGGGATCTCAGGCTCGTTGCTAACAACATACTTGCGAGTATTTGCCAAAGTATATGTGTACGAAGCGTCATCTACACCACTTAGAATTTTATGTTGCTATCGTTATCCACATTTTTGTGATTACCTTTTGCTGCTGTTGTTCGCTTTCCAGTTGGTCTTGCTGTTGGCTTTCCAGTTGATTGTGTTGGTTTTTCTGTAAGCAGTTGCAAATAAAGGAAGTCAAAGGCCAAAGTGGAAGATGATCGAAACGAACCGTGAAACTGCAGACATGATACGATGATGATAATAACGGCGATAATGATGATTAGGATGTGAACGGTAAAGTTCTGCTTGATATTCTTGGGTCCGCCTTCAAAAAGGTGAATCTAACATCTCGCAGTTATCGCTTGATGCATCTTCTCTATGTATCACTTTAAATGTTTGCGGTCGATAACACATGGAAGCAACTAAATAATTTCACCAATTGATAATTCAACAGTTAAAATTACCTGTTGGTGGTCCTCTGAACTCAAATAAATTTTTTTCTCTCTCTTTCCATTCAGGGAAATGTTCGTGTTGACGTTTCAAATGGACAATGATCAATTTTATTTGGGATTATGTGAAAAGAAAACGCCATCGTTTCCCCTGAGCTTGGTTCTAAATCAAATTGAATTAAACTAAAATAAAGACATTCAAGCGAATAATTGTTACCGTCACATCGATGTCCACGGTACCCTGGTTTGCAGCGACATCGATAGCCGGTTTTATCTTTCGTGTCCACAATGCAGCTCCCTCCATTTTTGCAAGGACTGGCAAGACAAGGATCTTTCTCTGAAATATTGAGTTATTAAGCATAGTTGAAGTCAAAAAAGGCAAATTACTAGCCAAATATTTCTGAATTACATGAAATCACTTACTGTCGCCGGCGGCACATTTCGTCTTTACAGATTGTATCTGGTTGGCAGTCAGTGCAATTCCATAAATCTGCAGACAAGTGACCCTGCCTCTAAAGTACTGCTTTGGGTCGCTCATGGCACCCATACGAATGGGATATTGTGTAGCTAAGTGTATACGTCCAATCCTTAAGTGAGAAGCCTAAAAGAAAAATAACAAAGAAATCTTTTTAACAGCAAACGGACATCAACTCGCTTTAGGGCCGTAGCTGGTCTTTGTAACCTACATATCAACTAATATATTAACATTAAAATCACACATGACCAGAACGACCAAACTTTACAGATGGATCGAAACTTACCGATCACGACCGCCTTACGCCACGTAAGTCTTACAGCCAATAGCTTTACGGTTAAACTAACCAATAAATTTACACGAAACAGACCCAGTACATTCGAATGACAACAACTATTTACTAGACTCTGATGATGACATCAGCTCAGGATGTCGAAACGTCAGTCATTACTGACAACAATCCTCCTCAGGTCTACACTTACCCGGAAGTGCACACCATATTAGCACATGTTACCTACGGATTCAAACCATGTGCTGTATTACTTATTCTAGGTGAAGTCTTGACTTTGAATGCCCAAGTTATTGTTAAACCTCCCATTATGGCTTACTGATCATCTCAGCTTTCTTAAATATAACTCATCTCACCATTTTGCCATTGACCCACAAACTTGCAATTCCGTGGTTGTAATCGTACGTAAGTCCAACATAATACCACCTCTTTGGATAAAAATTGTAAAAATAAATTTTTCTTCTGTAAAAGTTGCGGCGGCTGTAAATAAGACCCACGAGTAGTTTGGAGCGTGTCATCCAAAGGCCGACGCCATATCCTCCTCTTCGGTAGTTGATGATAGGACCAGATGTGCCTTCAGGGAAAACCCACAAAAATATTGAGATAGAACTGTACGCGTCCAATTTGCCACGAGCGCTGTTTGGGAAGTCAATGTAGCTGTCGGATGTTCCCTTGAGGTAAAATGCTCCACCAGCTCTCCCGTAGGGTCCAGAGACGATGTTTACTGAACTTAAGTAACCTTTAGGAGCCTTACGTGCGCTTATGTCCTTTCCACGGGTTTGCTGGTTAAGTGGATAAATTCCGAACGCCGTAGGTAGGGCTGCAAAAAATACATCAGTCAGTGTTCAATAAAAGGCATGCTGAATTTGAACTTTTTTAGAACGCCGCAGGTAGGGCTGCAGAAAATACATCAGTCAGTGTTCAATAAGACGCATGCTGAATTTGAACTTTTTTAGATACTGTCTTGAGATCACGATCACACTATCGATTGAGACTAGAGCACGAGCAATAATGGGAATCCTGGCGATTGGCCGGCGGAGGATTATGGTTCGAGAAATTAAGTGGAACTCCTGGATAGGACGCTTTATCCTCACTGTGCTTTTCTTCGCCCAGGGGTATAAATTAGTAGCGGCGAATTGTCAGGGAAGCCTGATAAAATGCTGGAGATAATCTTGCAACGGAATGGCATCCCATCCAGGAGGGAGTAACATTACTACTGGTAGCTTTATGCCATGGAAACTGGCATAGACTCCGGCTGGATGCGACTGGAGTATAAATGGGTAGCGGCGAATTGTCAGGGAAACTTGATGAAATGCTGGGGGTAATCTTGCGATGGAATGGCATCCCATCCAGGAGGGAGAAGTATTACTCCTGGTAGCTTTATGCCAAGGAAACTGGCATAGACTCTGGCTGGATGCGTCACTTGGCACGAGTATACACCTTGCCTTTACCCTACTATAGGCGTCAAAATTGCTGACACATTGACCTTTCCAATTCCCCTTGTTGAGTTAATTTATTCTTCCTCTTCTTCCCAAAACAATGTCGTATCGTGATTCCATGAACGTTTAGCTACATACAGGCAACACTGAATAGGGGAGGGGGGTCTTGACAATGATTTAGGGTGTGGTACAAACAGGAGTGTTTTTCCACAGATAAATAAAACTCTTCAAACATGATGTGTCCCCTAATTTTGACACTGATTGTAGGTAAGGCATAGTGTGAGGAAAAATGTATTTCCTTTCTCTGAGCTTTGGAGGGTGGAAGTGCTAATCAGTGACTAGTCACTGAAAGGCATCTTACCTATACCGACCTCGTTTCCAGAGGCATGAGACTTTGAGAAAAATGTTATTAATTAACAGTGAATTTCAGATCTGTTGTTTTTTCTTTTTTGAAAAACTTCATTACACACTCACCATTGGTACAAGTTGTTGTTGCCAATTTCGATATAACACTGCTGAGACTGCTAAACCTACTGGATCGGAAGATGTGTGCTGGTTTTTCAACAAGCAACCTCAACTCGTAATCCCTCACGTACTGCCCGATGGCCAAAGCATAAACCTGAACTCCTTTGGCTCTCAAGGGTAGAACCGCTTTGTCAAGAGGGATCGAATCTGAGGTACGTGTCTGATAACCGTCCGTCATTACAATCAGTATCTTAGGTACACTGCTCCGTGTTCCACCGTCAATAGAAAACACCTCCTCTGCTGCCTTTTTCAGTGCCAGGTCAATTCTGGTATACCCACCGGGATAAGGAAGTTTAGAAACTGCTCTGGAGAAACTCCAGAAGTGGTTATGTTGAGGAAATGATATTGTAACCTCAGCCCTTGTGCTGTACACTATTACTGCAGCATGCGTTCCAGAGCGAGATATTCCAAATATTCCCACGGTATTTTGTACAAATTTCTTCTCTTGATCATATCCCCATGATCCCACACTACCCGAGGCATCAATTGCAAAGGCGATGTCAACTGGACGTCTGCATACTGCACCTGCAAACATGGACCAGTTTTACAATAAATAAAGCTCATTTTTTTATTGCAGGTTAAAGAAAAATTTTCACACATACCTTACATTAGTTTCTTAACCATTATAGGCCTTTTTACGTGTGGGAATCATTGCCAATGATCAGGGAACTCGATGTCTTTAAGGTGCATGGAACAACACTATCATGCAGCTCATTGAAATATCTTTTGTATTTCATTCCAATCGTAGAGTTCTCCCCCCCCCTCTTCTTTTTAATGGCTTCAGAGAGTCCATAGTTACAACTCCTCTTCAAGGGTTCATTCTCTCCAAGGATTACCGATTCAGTAACGTGTTATGCCCAGCTGGGACGGTAATCATGAAGATCGAAGCTGTTCCCGGAATCAAAGTACCTGGAGCTATGACTTACCAAGTGCACATCGCCCTTTAAGAAACAGCACAGCAACAGCTACCGGCAAAAGAAATTCCAATAAATATTGAAGTGACTTCATTTCATGCTGAAATTAAAATGAACAAACATAATTTTTTTTTACATAAAATTGAAAAGGAAATGTGTTCGAATCATACGGTGTATAACTTGTACTAAGAACAAAAGACTAAGGGCGTGAGATCTTCCACACAATGGATTTGCAGTCGCGAATCGGATCGTCAGTTCAACTTAGGAATATTTAATCACGAATTTTCCTTTTTACTTCTTTTTTTTTCGGCTAAAACCTCCCTTTCCCTAGTTTTTACGCAAGAAGGCCTGTCGAGGAATTACGGATAAAGGAAGATCAAGTTTAAAGTTGTTTTGCTGATGTGTACGGTAAACAATTTTTACAGTGTCTATTTTCTTTCCTTCAACTGATTACAGAATTAATACCGGTACTGAAAATAGACCGTTCAAAAGTCGGTGAGAAAGATAACTTGTCATTGAAAATAGGAAGAATTGTTTAACGGTCTCAATGGAGTGACTTTTACCCAACGGCTAACGATTAAAATTATGGCCATTTTACGGCTAACGGTCTATTTTTTTCCCCTTGAGTTAAAAAAAAAATTTTACAGTCCACTTTTTTGCGACTAATGGTTAAAATTTATTACGTTTTTTATAATTATTTTTTCCGTTTTACTGCTGATGGTTAATCCCATTGAGAGTCTCATGTCAGTTTTTTAGAACTCCTGTTGGGTTATGTTTTCCTAAATGTTGGCATATAGGTATATTGTATTTTTATCCTCAGGATAAAGGCCGAGTCAGAGGTCATAACTTTTTTTTAAGAAATCAATTTAGAGGTTTGAAACCGTCGAGATTCACAAGAGGAGTAACATTTTAACGCTTCCACCCTATCGACTTTACATGAAAGGGATTGCAACCCTCGGAAGTAATTTAAATACAATGATCTGTGTTTTGTTGTGGTTCACCAGAAGTCTGTGAATTAAAATGAGTTGTAAGAACTCTATACGGAGAATTTGATAGGTACTTTAAAGGTTGGTTTGTAAAACTATTGGCTGATGTTTTGTAGGGTAACTTTTGTTGGATGAGATAAGGTACAGAAAAACGTTGTCAGAGATCTGTAAAAAATGGCAGATAAATGGCAACATATCATGGGAACAGAAACAAGTCATAAGGCCTACAGAGAGAAATAAACCCCTCTCCCTTCTTTCAAAGCGACTTCAAGGGTAAATTATCTTTAGTATGGTTCTTGAATCGTTCTGATTCCTTCCTTTAAACGAATGATCGTCATTTGAATGATCTTCGAAAGGTTTACAATGTTTACCGAAATAACAAGCAGGAGATGAAGTCATTTTTCAGGAATTTAAACAAACTTTGTCGAAAGGACGAAAGACATCCTTATCTTAAATAGCGGGAAGAAGAAATAAATAGATCAAATTAGTTATGGGCTAAAATTTAAACGTGTACTCACCGAGGTCTTTTAAAGAGTGCATTACAGCCATCAGCCCTGTCTCTTGTGAAGATCATAAATATATGCATCATCTTTTCAACGGCGTTACGAGTCGGCAAAATTGTTTATTTTGAGTTATGATCCTTTGAGAAACCTGCAAATCCACACGCTTGTTTTCGTCTCATATAATTTCAAAGCCAGTTTACCTTTTTCCATTTACCAATTATTTGTTTTCGGCCCACCTTTGATTCCGATTTTGGCCTCATTGTCCAATTTCTTAGAATCAAAATGATTAGATACTATTGCTGATATCGACTTTGTTCTCTTTCCTTTGCTTGCGTCCATTAAAACGCCAAATGTCCAGCCCTCTAAGTCAGAGGAGCATGTATTTCAAGACTAAAAGATAGTCGAAATTCGACACAACACTTGTTTTTTTTTCTTGTGGCGCAGTGGTTTTAAAATAAATTTTAAATTGATATGACTGAATTTTCAGTTTCATGACTTCAGCCGTTCGATTGCGTCGCACATACTCGCCACGTTTGGGGTGTTGTTTACTGCTCGACTGAGAGAATTTCAGAATTTCTATTCAGCTATATAAAAACAGAGTGAATAAATTCCTGATATCGTTTTTCACCAATGACAAATTTTAATATCTCGATTACTTTTCCCTTCATTGAAAGTAAGATTGAGGGAAAGATATTGCCAGAACACCAAACCTCCCTTGGCGACCACCTCTGGTAAGCGACCACCTCATGTTGGCGACCTTTTTTTTCAAAATACCAAACGTTTTCAGGTAAAATCACTAAAAATGGAAACTAACTTATTTTGATAGATGTCGTAAAAGTGGCGCTACCGATAATGTCTCAGGCCTTTTTTAAAATGCTTGTAGCCACGTGCATTTTGTTAAATTTTATGCTTGTGGTCCGTTCCCAGAAAATTTGGACAGCACTTCTCGCAATTGATGTAAGCAACAGGCCGAGTGCCTTTCACGTGAATTGACCCAAACGCTGTATTAAATAATTTGTGAGATACAAGGCAATCATCATATTTTATATAAATTTTTTTTTTTCCTCGAATAAGCCGCTAAAAGTTATTACTATAGATTTCGATGAGCGCTAGCGAAAGGGTCTGGTCGCTATGTGCAAATTACCTGAAATATGGGTCCCCTGTGGCGTGACCTCTGGTGAGTGGCTACCTCCCGTAAGCTACCAACCAGACTTGTCATGTCAGGTGGTCGCTTACAGGAGGTTCAACTAAATATAATTGCTCATATACCTAAGATTTCCTACTTTAAAAACTATGGCGTTGTATACTATAGATGTTGTTGTTCATCGTGGTTTTTATAAAAATGAACATTTCATCGTGTGTCTCACGATATCGATGTAAAAGTCAAGTTAATCAATCGTGTATTGATGGCGACGTTTCGACTATTATACTGCTAGTCTTCATCAGGCGACAAGGTCGAAGGTTTAAACTGTACGAACCATCTCAACTCTCTGACAAGGTAAATCAAGTGTCACATAGTTCCAAGAGACCTTCGGAGTCCAGCCTCCGGTTCCAACCAAAGACACTCGCAAAGATGACCAACTAGCTTCTCTGAGATTTTTAAGGGAAAGAATACGACCTACGCGGATAGCCAGGGGAGACGCGAACACAGAAACTGAACCTACTGCCTGGAGTATAACAACCCCTATGTCGGCAGGTGACGCTAGTGACATACCTGAAAATATGTTGTTACACATGGATTGTTTAATTTGATGCCGCTAAAGAACCGCAACGACGCAAGTTTCTAATACTTGTGCAAGAGAACCAGAGATTTTTTCTTTAGCAACTAATGTTCACATAACACCTCGCTTTGACTGTAATAAATGGGTTAATAACTTATCTTCACCGTCCATCAGCGATGCTGAGATGTCTCTACTAGAGAAAGGGTTAAATTTCGAAGTAACGCCACCTAACATCCCTACCACTGAAATAGTTATTAAAGTCGAATCAGCTATTACAAAACTTGTCCACGAGAAAGCGGAAACTAGAGGAGGAACTCTAAACAGTTTTCTGTAAAAAACAATACCACCTATGCCCAACATCACGAAAGAAATACAAAACATCCTTAAAGATCTTAAACAAGATGAATCTATCATGATCTTACTAACCGACAAAGGTCGTGTAAGCGTAGTTTTGGATATTGACACAAACAGGTCCGTGCCTAATTCTCAACAGAGACCCAAAAACTCACTGATGAGCGTCTCAACCTGTAACGAAGTGGCAATCTGTTGGAAAATATATACAGCAAAATCAGACCTAGTCATAATCTGCCAGCTAGAATCTATACGGCCTCCCTGGGATACACAAAGCTGAGATAACGTTAATACCCCACAGGCATACGCACTGTGTTTATATCCGACAAGACGCTTTGGTCACACGTAGTGCGGCCTTATGATCCCATTGAGTCTGCGAAACGGGACGGCGTTGTTTACAAAGATCCCGTGTGAATATGGGGAAATAAGGAGAGCGATGTAGGAGAAAATTAAAGAACATAAACGATTAAAATTTAGCGGTTCCGAACACACCAATGGAACGGGACACGTTCCTGTTTGGGAACAGGTTAAGTTTATTGATCATGACTGAGATACCATTAAGACCTTATTGGTATACATGTAGGGTGAAAGAACCCATCCCCATAAGACTTCATCCTAATAATACCAATAAGGGTAACGGAATCGAAATTCCCGAAGCATGGATGCCTATACTACCAAAAAGCATAACAGACGATCAGTAACAAAGCGGAAAGGGCGCCATAACGCACCAATAACAACAAACCATGGTGCTCTAAATAGCGACACGTGAACAAATACACCTCGTTGCCTGACGAAGACTACCAATATAGCAGTCGAAACGTCGTGATCAACACAAGACTAATTCTTCTATGGCGTTGTAAACATGACACTAACTCAAGCATGAAGACCATGGTCGCCGGCAAAAAGAAACTGTGGATTTCTTTGGTGCTGAGATTCCCCGCCTAGACACATGACCACCTGAAGTAAAGATCATGATGTTGACAAGACCCATGATGTCATGCTTGTGGTGACATGTGAAGTTCGTCGATTAGCTACCGTTATGTGAAGATTTCAATGGGGTGATTGCTGTTACGGCTAAAAGTTAATATTTTGTCCATTTCACGGCAAACGGTTAACTTCTTTCCATTGTTTATAAAAGGGAAAAATTTTAAGGATAACTTTTTTACGACTGACGATTAAAACTCGTCAATTCTTACGCCTAACGGCTAATTCTTTTGCCTTTTCACGGTTAACGCGGTTGATCCCACTGAGACCCTTTCAGTACATAGATACGACAAGGCCCTACAGAGTTCAGAAACGTAAGAGGCTTTTCACACCATAATCTAGTATTTTGCAAACTTTGGAAGACGTCACTTCCGTTAGGATGGCACAAACGATTCATCACAGTCAGATACAAAAGCAAAAGTTTTAATGTTATACATTGTTCTCACAGCTGAGGTAAACGTAACATGGCTAATTTTTTGGTTGATTTCCAAATTTCTCTATGCTTTGAACGGAACCTTTTTCTCTGAGCCGAATACTCATTTGAAAAGCA